CATAAAGTCCTAATAACCAAACACTTATGCATTCATTTATGTGTGTTAGGTGTAGTGTACTTCTCAGTAGTTGGCTATATAGGCTAATATAGTATTTATATAGCCATAGTTCATGATAATAAAGGGTATTTCTAGGAAAAATCCAGCCTGACAGTTTGTTTTGTATGGTAGTTAGATGAAGGGATTCCCTATTCCTATAGCCCCTTTATTCATTTATTTCCGCAGCATGTGTTTATCTGTTCCCATTCACACAGCACAGGACTCTATAGGCAGCCTTTATTGTTTAGAATAGCTTGCAATGTGCAGTTAGGGGACACGTTGAGGGACATTTTAAGTGCATTAACCACCAGTGTACCACCCAAGCCTTGAGATCTTTAACCCTCAGGGCTTGTTCACACCAAATGCAGACCAGATCTGCATGAGTTTCAGTGCAGTGGGTTGTGCCGCGTTTTTGATGCGTTCAAGGCCGTTTTTGTAAAAAATAAATAAACTTTTTTTTTAGCCAACAATGGACTTTCAGTGCGTTCCAGGGCGTTTGCGTGCATTTTTGATGTGTTCCAGAGCAGGAAAAATAGGGCTTGCTGCAGTTTTTTTTTACATGCTCTGGACCTGAACGCTTGGTGTGAACTAGCCCTCAGAGTGCGCATCTGGTTTACGACTGCTAAGATTTGCCAGCACAATACAGACAGGATTATTTATGGTAAACATAACTCCCCAGCCCCCTCCTCAACATTACATGAAGGGGAAAGCTAGGTAGGATTTCTATGCAACTAAAAAGAGGTAATCAGCAATGTTTATATATGTTTAAAGTTATGCTTTGTAAATGGGAGCATGTAACAAATATAAAGTAGCTGTTCCCCCAATTTGGCTGCAAAAGTGGAAATACATTTTAAATTAAATCTGTCATTTCTGTATTAAAACTGAAGTCGGGAATACAATGCAGGCACGTACAGGTAGGTGCCTGCATATACCTTTTTAGAAGGTGTTCCAATATGCAAATATTACCTTTTTGTAGTAGTTCTGAAAGCTGACCTTCCCTATTGTTTCTCTTGCACTTTTATTTTGGCCCATCTCTGTATTGGACAGCTTTACTGGCCAGTAGTGAGATGCAGGATGCCACCTTTCACCAGTGCTAGGTGTCATTAGCAGATAAGGGCGCCTCAGGATTCAGGCCTCCCAGGCATTTAAGAAGACTTTCTTATAGTATGGACAACAAGACGTTTGTAGTATTATGGCTTCAGTAAGGCCCTTTCACACGGGCGGTGTGATCTAGTCTGCCTGTCAGTTTGTCAAGTGGACCCGATCCGATGCCCAATGCTAGTCTATGGGCAGCCATGTGTAAACAGATGCCCATAACCCTCTTCCAGCCAGGTCTGGAAAAACAAACAAATCGGAGATCCATTTAGCCAACCTGATCATGCCAGGTCGGGGGTAATCTAACACGTGTCTGTTTACATCCGATTACCCATAGACTGACATGGGGTCAGGCAGATCCAGTTCTTTCCTCCATTGCAAGCTGAAGGAATAAACTGGACAGACATGGATGTTTTAACAGTGACATCCAAGCCGTACTGCTCCAATCAGGAGGGAATCCAAGCCCGGATCCCCTCCTGATCAGCCTGTGTAAAAGGGGCCTCAAGCTGAACTCCAGGCAGAAATAAAAACACTGATTAGTATATTTATGTAATAATTAAGAATGATTTAAGGGCCTGTCCACACGTACTACAGTGCATTTTACCACACCAGATCAATGCAGGTCACGGCAAGAACACATAGAAAACAATTGTTTTCCCATTGTCACCACAACGCGAATGTGATGGGCGGTGCGCTGTGATAAAATTCAAATATGCTACAGAGGATGTCATCATCAATGTGCTGTTTCTCCTTCATTGTCCAGTCAACAGGCTGAGGGTGTATTTTGACCAGGGTTGTTGACCAAGCTGCATTGCTGCAAAGGTTAAGCATTTGGCTTTGTTGTCTGGCAGGGTTTCCTGGATCACAAAACTGGCTACACAGAATTACAGATCTTTTGGCAAGTAAAAGGTTCCCTTATATTCATTAAAAGCTTGGCTTCCACAACTTCCTGGCTGGCGTGTGTCAGATCTTGCACTTGCTTTGAAGTGACCCAGCAAGCCCCATAGAACTTTGTGGGGATTTCCAGATGCCCCAGGGTGTTGCAGAGTAGAATGCAGGGACTAGAAGCATGCCAGGCAGAACAAGTAGCAGAGTCACGTTTTTAAAGCAGGTTAACTAGAATGGAGTTGACATGAAGGTAATTGTAACAAATTTATTACGCTTGTCCTCCCCCATTTCTACTCAAATTTGAGGCAAAACATACGGCCATGCTCCAGACACTTACAGTGTGTTGCATAAATATTTCATCTTCGTGGATTTTTGTAATGTTACAATATGGAATTAAAATGGATTTCATTAGAATTTTATTGCACTGATCTACACAAAATAGTCGGTAGTAATGAAGTCACTCCGATTGCTGTGGAACTGATTACCTTCAGATTTTTTTCAGAAGTAGAAGACTCTTAAGGTGCCCATACACTGCACGATTCTCGTACGAGAATCGCAGGAAATCCCGCGATCGTACAATTGTGCAGTGTATGGAAGGCGTGCGACCGTTTCTACTGTACGCAGTAGAAAGGCATCATGGCACACTCACAAGTCAGCATGTAAAACAACTTGTCTCACCACTAAGGATAATAACAGAGGTTTGGATACACCTTCTGCAGAAAATGTGAAAGCCGCACAGCCGCGCCAAGGCACCTCTTATAGTGCGGTCCTAACTCTAAACTATGAGAGTCTCCATCTTGGAGCACATGGGGGCAGAAGATATCAAATTGGGTGAAGGTTTGTGAGGAGGAAGCCCAACCTCCTTAAAGGCACAGGAACACACAAGGGATCCCGCACATCCCAAGCTGTGAACCCCCATGCATCACTGCACCAAATCAGTCAAGCAAAACAAACGACAAACACACTCAACAATTTGTCACCAACTATACAGTAAGGTGCACACGAAATGGGCTTTAAACAGTAAACAGTAGAAAGGCATCATGGCACACTCACAAGTCAGCATGTAAAACAACTTGTCTCACCAAATTGTTGAGTGCGTTTTGTCATTTGTTTTGCTTGACCGTTTCTACTGTGCGGTCGCACGACTTTTGTATTTCGAGCATGTTGGAAAACCAGCCGAGAATCGTACGATTTTCGGCTGGTTTGAACAGTGCTCGGGAGATAACTCCCGAACGGGCCGGTGTGCGCACACTGCCCGTTCAGCATTGCCGTCATCAGAAGCCCGCCCCTCAGGGGGGCGGGCTTGCGATGATCGCAAGTACGATCTGCCTGTCCAAGATGGGCAGATCGTACGTTTTTTTTTATTACTTTACAACCCTCGCAAGACAAAAGTCTTGCGAGGGTTGTAAAGTGTATGGGCACCTTTATTCGTGAACATATCTAGAGAAGTAACATCATGATCATGTTTTGGACAGTCACCAGCAGGATTGGGTCATAAAAATATCTCACCAACATCCCCCAGAGCACCATTTATGTACATATTTTTTTTAAAGCTAAACTCCAGGATAAGCAAATACTATCTAAATACAAGAGTCATGTGTATTCTTTAATCTTGGTGTGCTGTGAGTATTTCTTCCAGATCTATGCAGTAAACCAGTGTGAAACTTTGACTCTGTGCAGGAGCTTCCTGTAATAAAGACAGGTCGCTGTTGCTCTCTCTCACCTTGTGCAGGGTGACTGATCTTGTATCCACCCCCTCCTGTAGTTTTCTGCAGTCAGCCTGTAGTGGGTGGAGCTGGGTCCCTCCCACAGCTCTGCTCTGCTTTGGTGGAATTAAGTGTGCAAATCTGGTAAAACCATAATCCAATGTAACTGCAGCCAAGTTGGATCTACTTAGTACTTAGTAGGAGCAATTTTTCTTTCATTAAAGCCCAATTGAATCCCCTTAATGTATTACTAGATACTCAAGGCTCTATATACAGTAATAAATATGCCTCTTGTTGTTCTTTTTTTAATCTAATAAATGCTGCAAGCGCTATGTGCAGCTCTTAATGGGGTGTGCTGGACCACAGGAGATGAAAGGAGGAAGGAAGGAAGTAGCGCAACTGACTGGCTCAGGCTGTGTGGATGGGAAATGACCAGGGAGTAACAATGAATCAAGGTGAATGGAAGTGGGAATGAAAAAGCGATGTTTGACGCTCATGGACAACAGGAGAGCCTAGGGTGCAAGTGCATCAACATTTCTACATTTCTACAGTACATTCAACATTTGGCAACACATTACTGTATATGCAGAATGTTCAATTGGGCTTTTAATATGGTATTAAAATTTAAAATATTGACTTTCAAAGTGTTTAGTATGTTGTGTAAATCAAATGGAAATACCAATACCACCAAAATGGGGATACCAATCAAATCCTTTCCTGATTCTAACACTGCAAAATTAGGAAACGTCTTAGGGGGTACATAATCATGTCAAGTAATAAGCTTCTAGCTTTTATTCTGTGGTCTGGGCTAGCTTTTCTGTACCTTTTTTTTATTCTCGGAAAATGTTGGTCAATATGAAATCATGACAATCATTCTGTTTTAACTTTGGTTCTGGTTAACTGGTTTTCTTATGTGATGATACATCCCATAAAACTCAATTTCTTGTGAATTAATTGCGTTGAAGAACATTACATCATAGGCTATCGAGTCTTGATCTGTAAAATATTTTTTTTTTTAAATAGTTTACATCTGAGTCATTGACTATTTTCTACTTTACAATGACCATCCATTATTTGTTATCTGTATATGCATAGAAAGGTTTGTAATTATTTCAATGTTTTACAACTTTTAAATGATGTGAAAAGAGAGAACGGCACAGAAAAATCATTTACCGCCTCCTATGCTTGCCATATGTGCTCATGTAACTCATCGTGTCTATAAAATTAAACCTTTTGTTGGTAACTTTTTTCCCTTTCTTTTCTTTTATACAGAACGCCCAGAAAGAAATAAACCAGAGCACCGATTTCCTGGGTAAGTTTTTTTTGTGTGTGGATGTTCTTAGTGACTTCTTGTGCCAGTAATACTGAGGATAACATGACTTTGTCTCGAAACTTACTTTGCACAAAAGATGTTCATTGGATGTAAAGGCCAATTCCATCTAAAACAGTTATATTTGAGTAGAGGTGTGGAAGGTTTGGAAACCGGTTATTAGGGAGAACGTCCTTCAATACCTGTCCCTGTGACACCCACTGTGTCATAGTTTAATGGGGTGTCTTTGGTATAACCCTCAACCACTTAAATAAAAGTTGCGGCTGGAATTCAGTTTTAATTTTGTATAATAAATAAAGAAACTTTTAAAAATATTCAGTCATCTGATTATGTTAGGGTGGTGGGACCTTTTAAGTAATGAGCATTTCTATAGTGTGGGGCATCTTTTAGTTAGGACATACAGGTGTACATGTTGCCATGTTGCAGATACTGTTCATGTGTAGAGAAGAGAACCAGTGTGTTTTACCTTTAGTAAACAGTACCCTGGTCTATCCTCCCTACCCCTCCTAACCTAGACTAAGACCCCCCCGCCACCCACCTGCTTACTTACTTACTTACTTTAACTTGACAATCGCAGCCTTCTCTGCTTTGTGACCTCCTCCTGGGCCAGATTCTTCAGTGTTGGCCGTGCCTGCACAATAAACCCCCAAAGACTTGAATGGGAGCCATGTCTCTGAGTAGAGTGCATTGTCTCTTAAGGTAAGGTGGAACTAAAGTCAGCATGCCTCCTCAGGTCCATCTAGAGGCCATAATGCAGTACTACATGACAATGCATTCGACCTGCTAAGATGCTCCTCAGCTCCACCTACTGGCCAAAATGACAATACATTTGATGTGCAAAGAAAATGAAATTAAAGGAGAACTATGGGGTTAAGGCTTTTCCCCATAGTTCTCCTTAGGGTAACGGGAGGACACAAACTAGCGTCCTCCCGTCACCCTCAGCTCAGTTACAGCTTGCGGTATACTGAGACTCCACAGTATACTGCGAGCTACTGCTCGCGGTATACTGGAACGCCGCAGCTGAAGCGGATACCGACAATTGTGCCGGGATCCGCCCAGCTGTGTGAGTGACAGCTGGCTCTGCCTATCTAGAGGCAGAGCCAGCTGTACCCTCCCCCGTCCGATCCGCCAGTCAGCGCTGGCGGATCGGAGCGGGGAGAGGGGAATCCAGCCCCTCCCCTGTCACGGCAGAGGGCTGTGACAGGATCGAGAGGTGAGCGAACGCTGTTATGTGTTCCCTCACCTCCCGATCTACTGAGCCGACCTGTGACAGTCTCATTGTCACAGGTCGGCTAGAACTATGAGGTGATTGAAAAGCACTCACCTCATAGTTCTCCTTTTAAGAACATACATTTTGTCTTTATTCGCACAGACATACCATAGTGGGGGGTTTTTTGTTTTTTTATAAGAAACAATCCCTGCATGTGCTACCTGTAGAGGGGAGTTCATCAGTTTGTGTAACATCATCACATGTTTCCATCGCCAGTTCGGAAGGACCAAGTGTATTTTAGTCCTCTGTGGCCAGATGTCATTTCTCTACTATTCTAGGCTGACACTTTTTACCGAGTTTCACAATTGCATTCCTTCCTAGGGCCATTTAATGAGACCCATCCATGCTAAATGTTTTACTTTCTCATAAATGTATTACAAACAGACGTGGTATCCAGCTGGTTTGTGCTTGCTGTGTTTAGACAGAGTCCAAAAGCACCATTCATAACATTTTCATAAGGCCACAAAAACAAACAAACCATTTATATCTAAATTTACAGATTTATAAACAATTTTGTGTGCAGAGATTAGATTAGAGATACAACAGATATAAATTAATGGACATCTTCCTATTAGGCAGCTTGAATATGATAGTCGTAGCTAGACCACAAATATTAATATTAGACATGTAGATGAATTTCATCACAAATGTTCCCCTGGATTATGACCTTTTTCATCTCTCCCATAGTTATACATTACATTTTGAAAGAGGGGAGTCAAAGGGCGAAAATCAGGAGAATAGTTCTTGCATCTGGTCATCAGCATATAAAGAACTACATGTACAGTTTGTAGCTACTAAGCCATGATTTCTAGTTTTATACCCTTATTCTCCATGCTTGACTGGAGCTTTAGTACGAGTTATATTTTTAAATGCTTTGCTTTTTGGAATATTTGTGTTTCTTCAGCTTTTTGTGTGTACAGTGTGTTTTTAATGCATGTGTCAATCTACGACTAGAAGTCATGTGCCATTTTCCTTAGTGCCCCCTCCAAATGGAACTGCACTCATTGCTGGTCTTTTCATTTGGGCAACAGATGTAATTCTACCTCAAGTACCTGACTGGTCCTTAATTTGCATTATGGCCAACACTTCTGTTCTGAATTCAGACCATTGGCCATGGGGCCTGCGGATCTATTTTTTGCATAGAGAACAAAAGAATAGACAAATACAAGGCACATATGTGTACAAGCTTTCATTTTGCCTCCTTCCGTGCCTTGTTGGAAACATTATCATAATACAGGATGTGTATACAGTGCCCTGATGGGCTGTTGTTGAGACGGCCTTGCCTAGTGGGCCTGGAGAGGTCTTTTTTTTTTATTATTAGACAAAGATATGTGATATTTGTCACATAGTTTTGTGATTTAGTCGAAATAACTGGTCTTGAGTATAACTTACAGAGCAGTTCTGTTGTTTCTAGGGGCTGGAGTGTTGGGTGTGGTTTGGCTACTTTCGAGAATGATTTGCACATGTTGACAATTTGTTCAACATAAAATAATTGAGAACACATGTGAGGAATGCAAACATTCTGTTATGCTTGTATCACGCTTATTGCAAATTCCCCCATTATCTCACTGTGACAATGCTCTTTGTGGGCTTTTGTTTAATTTCGAAATGGCTGTAAAAATCACATTTTACACGCTTTCTGTGTCAATATTTTTCCATTCTAGTGATGTTAGTTTCTTCTTCCCAATTTTAGTAAATTAAGCTGTCAATTTAGTTTGTTTTTTTAACAAAAAAATGTGGCATTTGAAAGATTGTTGGTTTATGGCTAAGCTGAAAGAATCCTTAGCTTTCAAAAGCCATCAGGCCCTAGCAGTGATTTCCTCCCACCCAGTCCATCTGCGTAAAGAAAAGCCAGATGGGGGTGCTTGCAAGAGCTGAACGAATCCCAAAAGCCAGTGTGCTTAAAGCAGCTGTACTGTGTGGTGTTTAGTAGAGGTGAGGCTGGACTAGGTGTGAACTCAGTTCACCTTAGTTCACCCAAACCCACTCAAAACTCTGACTACCACCTCCTCCGCCCACCGAATTAGTGGCAGCGGTTGCGGCATGGGCATTCCCTGCCCCTTTGTGATGTAAAGCTGTGGTGTGGAGAATGTGCCTCCCCGCAACTGATTGCCTCAGAAGGAGGGCTTGGCATTCAGAGTTTGAGGGGGCTTGGGAGAACTCAGGCCTACTGGGTTTGCACCAAGCCCAGCCTCATCACTATTGTTGGGTGACCACATGGACGTGGCCATCATGTGACCAGACTTTCCACCCCATCCGTTATCAATACAGATTGCTTTGGATGAGGTTTATGAGAATAATCAAGGCTGTAGTGTGTATTAATGATGCTTTACAGAGAGACACAATTTTAACTTACTGCTGATTACACTACAATTTCACAATACAATATTAGAGTATTTAGACCATTAGGATAAGGCTGCATTCACACCTAAGCGACACCTATTACACGCGTCTTGCACGTGTTTTTTGTGAGCGTGTTTTTTTATGAGCAGATTGTGAGCAGATTGTGAATTACTGACAGATTATAAGGGTACCTGCAGCAAGCTTAGAAATAACAAAACCAAAACTGTATGATCTTTACTGCACAGAAAAGGGAGAATACTGTATCATGTGACCATAATATATAGCTTGTGCAAATAGGTGACCCACAGACAACTGTGGTCCTGGCTTATCGGGAGGGGGAGTCAACAGTAATTAAAGATGTTCCAAACTGACAATTCACTTCCTCCTCTAACAAGCCTCGGCTAGCAGTGTCTACTGGAGCCCCATGGATATTAAATTGTTTCCTGATGTGGCCGAGCATCTGTCCATTATCAAGTAATACATGTTTCATGTAAAGTAATGTCTTTTGGGGAAGGGGTGTGTTTCCCCTTGTACAGAATTATCCGCAAATTGGAACTAAATAAACTTAATCAGCCCATGTATAGAGCACTGAATGTTCCTCTTGTGAGGCCTGCTGCATGCACCATCATAGCGTGGGAAAACAGTAGTGACTTGACATGCTTTTCTATAAATATGTACAAAACCACTAGATTTCCTTTTGGGGTTGCTTTCCATTTCACTACATATCAGTGGAGGAGAAGTCAAACAGTGTTGCTACAAGCTAAGAGTGTTATCTGCACAGAAAGGGCTGCAAAGTATGGCCATTCCAATACAGTTGTGTTTTGGTCCTATAAGCTGCTATTAACTCTTTCCTGGCACTTGGTGGATGTTGTTATTATTATTAGGTCTATTGGCACCAGGCTCTATCATTGAATGAAGTATATCCCATCGCACTCCTGACCAGAAAAGCCCAAAAGCAGGGTGGGGGCGGCAGTGACAGCAGATGCTTCCGCAGATCATATACAAATTTCAAGTAGAAAGTCGCTTGCACTCCAAAGCGATGCCAAGTCAATCTCTTTATTGACTATGGTAGTGTAACATCTCAAAACGATGTTGCGGAACCTAGTGGTCCCTTCAGGCAAACAGAAAATGTCAAAATTTCCGAAACGTCGCTTAAATTTACTTACATTTTACTATCATTGGACTGGCAGCAGAGGCCTGCTATACACACTTCCATCAGTGTCAAACTTTTGTCACCCTTCAGATTATGGCCTTCATTTTAGTGTCATCTCTGATTGTATATTTGGCCGAATCCATTGTGATTGTGTTTTATTTTACCATGGGCAGTTTGTGTTCATTATATCTTTTATCACAGCTAGTGTTATAACATGTTTATCAATCCTCCGCTGATCTTCGCCGGGCTCCCCCACTGCTCTGTTCATCTTTTGAAGCCCTCAGAAATACCTCATACTTTCAAGTATGGGTTACCATGCGACCTTCACCTCTTACTCCAAGGGTGCATTTCTCGGGCTTCATTTCAAAGCCCCAACACTGTCAAGTTGGAGGAAGGCAGTAGCTCTAGCACAGGTTAATGTGGCACTTACACAGTGACTAGACTGAAGGCTCTGACAAAAGAAAAGATGTGTGGGGTAGCATGGGAAAGGCAGGTATTAGTGGGTCAGCTGTCAAGAGAACCCACATATATTTATAGTCAAAGCCTTTTTTTGGATTGTGTAGTGAAGTAGAATACCCATGCCTGTTTATTTTCCTCTTGGGGAGATTTCTGTTCACTTCCATTCCTGAGGACACAACAGGAAGTGAGAGGAAATCTCCTCTTAGACAGTTATCAGAACAAGTGTCCCCATTGGAAGAATTCCTGCTAACAACTGTAAAGCTGATCATACATTGCCCTAACTTTAGCCGAGTACAGTGGCCAAAGTTTGAGGTGTGTGAGGCCCTGCCGCGACCAACTAACTGGACAAAACTATGTCAAATCTTGTGGTACTGGATAGATGATTTTCCTGGACACAGTATACATGTGTCTAGGAACAATCATCTATCCCAAACAGCATGTAATCGTATCATGCAGACTGCCGCTAATCGATGCGGCCACTGTCACCCTGTCATTAACTTGAACGGCACAGCAGCTGTATCTGAACGGGGACACCTGGGATTCTTGCCGAAGGAGTCCCAGCATGCAGCAAAGTCCCCATGTGAATGCAGCCTTAGATTTTGGATTTCCTAATACTTCCTGTCTCAGTGACAGTGGTTACTCAGGCAATTAGAGAGGGGAAATCTCTCCAACTGGGGTTCTAACACTTCCCTACTCCAACCAAAACAAAAGCTATACAAACACTTGAATCCCTAGTTGTGGAATGTTTTTATGACTGCCTAAACATCCCAGTTATTTTTATTACTATCAAAGGTCTTTGCTTTTAAACTGAGCTTTTCATTCTTTTTTTGAAAGTCCCGTTTTCTAAATCAGACCCATAACATGCATGCTGCAGCAGATAAGTTGTGGCAAAAGTAGATTTCTTATCTCTCAACATTATGTTCAGGCAACTAGCAAGGTCAGCAATGGCAGGTTACAGATTTCGTTCATGAGAGGTTTTCCATGAACGCAGTTCCTGAACTTGCTGTTGAGTTCAAAATCACAATGGACCGAGCAGTCTGCAGCATCTATCTACTAGCTGGGGAGAGGGAGGAGGGGAGTTGCTTGCCTTGCCGTGTTTGTGGAGACACACACTGAAGGGTGGCTCCATAGGTGCCTGCAAGAGAAACGAGCCACCCAAAAACAGGATATCGGGGCCCGTGCTCATGCAAGCACTATTTTTGCAGAACGAACTGGACCGGAACACAGACACTAATGTGCCTGCGTTCCAGTTTTCGGGCAAATGCACTGCGTGCGTGGTTGTGGTGCCATTGACTTCAATGCACCACCACACCCCCTCCTGCCCCTGCACGCAGGGAGCCGGCCGGCTTGCGTTCCAGAGGCCGAACGTACTGGAACGCGGAGTTTGTGGTATGAACTGGCCCTTAACCAGTTGACATCCGCGGTGTTAAACCCCCTTCCCATCCAGGCCATTTTTCAGTATTCAGCGCTGCGGTACTTTGACTGACATTTATTGCGTCATGCAGCGCTGCACTGAAATGAATTTTATACCCTTTTTTGGGGACAGATAGAGCTTTCTTTTGGTGGTATTTATTCACCACTGGGGTTTTTATTTTTTTACTATATTAAGGAAAAATCACCGAAATTTAAAAAAAAAAAACCCATCACTGAAGCCATTTTTTAAAATGTATTTTATTTTTTAATTTTTTATCCGATTAACCGATTAATCGAACTTAATAATCGGCTAACTAATTGATTTTGAAAATAATCGTTAGCTGCAGCTCTAATCCATTGTAAGTGATTTCATCAGCATTAGAAATAGCTTAAAAACCTTTTGACTTTAACATCACGTTAAGTGCTTGTGGAAATATAAGGTGTATTTACTATCTGGAAAAACAGTAAATTCAACTTTCGAGTCCTTCTTCTTCACAAAAGTATCAGCTGTGTACGTGACAGCCTTTTGGCCTATTGAAAACGGCTTGTGCTGTGCTTGTTAAATGGATGTGTTTGTGTTTTTAATCTTGTATGAATCTCATGGGAACAGTCATCTGGAGGCTTGAGCTGAAGTTCTCTTACAGATAAACGGCTAGCTCATTCTCCAAGTGCTTCCCCTTGTAGCAGAGAGACTAAGTTCTCATCAAGGCAGCCCGAGGAAGGGAAATGCAAGTGTGGTTCTTTCATCTCTGTGTATTCATTGCTTTGTCTTCTCAATAAGCAATGCAACAGTCATCCAATTAAGAGTACGAATAGTGCTTTTTATTTGTTACACGACTGATTCTCTCTCTAGACTCTGGTTTCCATTTCAGAGGGCTGAACCAGCGTTGGATCGGGAGATTATTTTACAGTGCTGGCATAAACATAGTAAACTGGCTTGAGATACTTTCCTTTCTAGAATGATGGAATGCTTGCAGGAACCAAGTTAGCTTTTGTGCTTTTTGTTCCAAGTTGTTTTGTTCCGTGTCGAGTAACTAATGCAAGCCTCTTTTTCAGACAAGGACCTTTGTCATCAATACGAGCTGTCATTAAAAGAAGTAAGTGCTTTCATTTTTGCTTATTGCACTGCATCTGTCTGTTTTAGCAATAGATTTATGTGCGTTTTTTATATTGTTGCATTTTTGGATGGTATGACTTCTGAGTACATAACTCACGCTGGGATCTGAGATCTCTCTGAACATATTGGCCATACTAGGGGCTATTTTTGCTCCTTTATTTCAAAAATTCATACTTATTAAAGTGACTCTGACACTTCCGTAAACGGAAGTTCAACAATAAAGGGCCTGTGACAAACATGGTCCCACTTCTCGTTCTACTGAACTTCAGCTACTACTGTTTAAAGGATCTTCTCTTCAAAGAGTCGGATGTCTAGTCCCCCTCTGCGTGCGGTGGATTCATTCGCCAGTCCCTATGTCCCTCCTACAGGATACAGTAACATTGTAGGGGCCAGCAGAAGGGTGCACAGCAGTGACCCAGGCATCCGACACACCCAGAAGACAGTGATAGAGAGTGAAGTTCAGCAGCATGGGCAGTGGGACAGGCAAGAATGGATTTGTTATCCAGTCTCTTTTTTGTTTAATCTTTTTGGAAGTGAGTCACTTTAAGGAGAAATTAAATTCTAGAAGCTAGGCCTAAAAAATGGCAGAGGGCAAAGGTCTACTCATCATTATTACCTGTTGGCTCCCAGCAGCTGATCTTTCCTTAATACATGCCTTGTTCTGCACTGTGTCTCTGTGTAAAAGTGGCCATCTTGGCAGAGGTAGGCTTTGCTTCCTCATGTTAGTAGCACAGTAGGCCGCAGTGCCTAAGATCTCACACTGCAGATACACAGCTATGAGGCTATAGCACAGCAGTTCCTAGGTACTCTCCAGGAAGTGTTCTGCTATTTTTCAGGAGGAATTCAAGCCAAGACACATTTTTCAGGACACTGCTTAGGGACAGTAATATTTTCTAGATGTTCCCTATGACACAGCAAATCTTCACTTTTGGAGTTCTGATCCATCCAAAATCATAGCTCCCAACTGTCCCTTATTTGGAAGGACTGTCCTTTTTTTCTCACCGTCTCTCTTTCCTCCTCATATGTCCCTCTTTTTGGTCTGATGTACAGACTTCTCTAATCTATATATCTACCAAAAGTGTTTTACTACACTAAGGCTACATTCACACTAGCTTCCTTCTTTTGATTTACTGAAACACAAGTGAAATTATCTGGGAAGTATAACCTAACTTTATGCTTCCCAGATCACTTCTCCTGTATTTAAATGTACCTGTTTACAAGCATTTACCTGCGTTTAGAGGTGTTCAGAGTATTGAATCTTCCCCTGTATGAACAGAATTCTATGTTGTCTAAAGGCAGTGAAACTGAACAAAGTTAAATGCACAGTTTGAAGTATACCAATAAAAAATGTATACATGCATTTACGTATATGCTTTTAGGAATGTCCTGTAAATGCAAATAAATTCATGTATGTCACTGTGAATGAGGCCTAAACTTTTTACACAGCCTCCTAATTATTGCATCTGCTTTTGGTCAGGTATTAAAAAGAAACAGAAGTGGTGAGAAAATGCAAATGTTGCTTTAACTGATCATTTTTTGCACACGCATTCTTCATTATCTATGTATATGGAGTTGTGGCAGGGGCATGTCCTTTTGACTACAAACTTTTTGTCAAAAGTTGTCTGACTTTCTTGTCTCGGAAAGTTTGGAGCTATACTAAAATGATCATCCTACCCAAATGCCTATCAGAGGTATAACTAGCTTTAGATACATTGAGGAAGTTTTAGAACCTCTGCCAGTTTTATTGCAGTTTGTGCCCCCACTGTGGAGAACCACCCTTACTTTACTGTGTGGTTACCAGGACAGGAAAACTCTCGAATACTTAAAAAGCCATTATCCAGAACGACACAATGACCTGCTTGCCTGCTGCAGCCATTTACTCGAGGTTCCCATTCATTCTGTTTTCATTTACTTTATAATATAGAGCATGTAACAAGAACACCACAAGCTGGGCAGGAACAGAACAGACAATGGTGGCATGGGCGAATAAGGTTTAGTTTCCTATGGAAATGTGGCATCAGGATTTGTATGCTTTAGCAGTTGCAACAATGACACAAGTATATTAAAAGCTAAATCCACCTTTCTGACCATGTTTCATGTTGCTCTGTATTTGTAGTCCATTGAATACTTCCTCCAGTGCCATAACTAATGGTCCATACATCCGTACAGACTCGGGGCTGGAGAAACAGAATGCAGGAGCCTATGCATTGCGCCCCCGATCCACTGAACACAGTTGCAATGCTTTGAAGGCTCCAATGTAAAAAAAATATAAATGAACATGAGGACCGTAAGCGAACTTATAACAACTACTTTTCTATTAGTTTTCTCCTTTCACTGACCTGTAGCCAGTGGCTGCCTTAGCCCATCAGATACCTACTGTTACTGAAGTACGTATCTCTTTTGAAATGACATTTTTTGATATCGTTATATTTACCTAAAGGACAGGTGTACCCCAAGCTGGCCATAAACTGGTAAATTGTCGTATGAATGTTCATACGAAAAATCTCATCAGGACATTCCATAATGCCATGCGAGACTTGACAAATGTTCAGAAATTTCCTTTGATTTTAACACTTGAGATTGGAATAAATGGAGTTTCCCAAACAAAAATAATATTTACTATTAGGATTTAATTCGCTCAAGAAGTCTGATAGATTCCTCCATCCATGCTAACGGTGTGCATGGACGAATCTCTTGCTGTGTTCTTTGTATTCTGACATTGGCACCCACTGCTGTCAGAATACAACAGGGATTACAGCTGACTGGATGCAAGTATGGTACACCCCACACTTTTCCAAGGTGTTCTTCGACAAAAGTAGGTATGTTACGGTCAAACCCCAGGGGGCGGGAAGGAAAAGATGTCATACCTCCCAACTTTCTAACATGAGAAAGGGGGACACCTTGCGGCACAATGTATTTAGGAAATGGACATACCCTGCCACACCCTCAGCTATGCCGACCATTAAGAATTTATAAGCCAAAAATGATCGGCCAAACCCAGAATTGTGAACCTTTTCATAGAGATCTGTACATCAGGCCAAAAAGAGGGACAACTGAGCAGGAAAGAGGGACCGAGGTTTGGTTCCAAATGAGGGACAGTTGGGAGGTATCATAAGTGCACTTATCTTTTACATCTCCACAGTTTTTTACACTTACCTGGAAGTTGTTTTATTGCTGAAACCGCTTCTGAAAAGTGTCTGAAGAACCTTTCTATTTGAGCACAATAACAGAGAAGTTTTTGGCAAAACGCAATGAGTAAGCACCCTTAAAGTCTAGTCATAACTTTAGCCACATGTCTGTAGTTTGCTCGGATTGTCTAACAGAGTGCACTTATTATAGAGTGACAAAATCTTTGCCTGACTACACCCTCTTACTGCACTTCTGAAAATTCACTGTACGTAAATTGTCTGCTAGGAAGCTTGCATTCCCATGTGCTTTAACTTGTTATGGAAATGTTGCATCAGGAGTTCTATGGTTTGGTTATTGCATTACTTGCATACGTTTAATACATGGGAAGGTTCACTAACCTATAATACAATCAGCCAGATTTCTCCTTTTACTGATTTGACCAAATTAGGCTGAAATGACTGCAGTCTCTAGTCGCCTCACTTTGGCTTTATCGTATAACCCGGGCGGTGTTGAATGAAGTTCAGTTACGACAGATAATTGCTTCTACGGTTGTCATTTGTTAGGCACATACCAGGTAATCTGGTATATTACCTGGTACCAGGTAATCTGGCTTCATAGAACATGTATTTTAAATATGCAAGTGTAGTATAAACTATGGACCCTCCTAACAGGGCTTGCGTTTGCCTTGACGATTGAGTGCACAAACCCACTTCCTTTGAGTTTGTCGAACTAGCTGGTGCCGACAGAGCCACCGACGACTTGAATTTAGGCTGATTTAGCAGAAATTTAAACCATGTATGGCTAGCATTAGTGTGTGCTAAGCTGGCCATACACTGGAGGCCTGCTGACTTATATGAAATTTGACCAGTGTGTAGCCCAGTCGGCACCCCTCCAAAGCGGATGGTCCAAAAATTATTGGCCGAACAGGGACTGTTCAGGTATTCTGACTCACTGCTATGAGAATGCAATAGCCCGACAAGGGAAATTCCGCATGGATGGTGGAATCGAGCATTTTTCCTTGTTCAGCCCACTGCAGTCGGTCAGTTTTCACAACATTTTTTTTGCATTTCATTGTTTGCTGCAGTATTTGCTTTTCTGCTCTTATCACAGGCTGTGTAAAGAATAGGTAACCCATAGCAGCTTTTCATACATCAGTTCAACAAAAGCATTGTGCATTTTACTCTATAAAACCAGCTGATATATGTGGCAAAGCAAGAGTATGTTTGTTTTTCTTCTCCTGTACGTTTTACGTATATTTGTTATACCTCTTATAGCTATTTTTATTTTTATTATTATTTATGTATTCATTTATGTGAATATGATACTTTACATGTATACTACACTTGAGTATGTTTCAATAGGAAAATCTGTACATATGTAATATTTTAAATTTAGTGATTTTTATTTTGCAGCTTCCAGAACTACTGCACAGAGTGAACAGCAAAGAGATAGAAGGTAATACTGTCAACTTTGTCCCTATTTCTTATGTCTACACTTGTGGCAATGTTATAAGTTACAACTGCTAATAAACAGAGCCAAATGGTGAATCTATTCAATACACAAAGCATAAAGACATGGTCAAGAGTTTGTAATGTTGTTTGGCCAAATACAGTGGCTTGCAAAAGTATTCTCCCCCGTTTTCCTATTTTGTTGCATTACCACCTGGAATGATAATGGATTTTTATTTGCATTACATGTAATGGACATACACAAAGTAGTCCAAAATGGTGAAGTGAAATCAAGAAAATAACTTAAATTACTTTAAAAAGTATAAAAAATGGAAACGTTTGTTATGAAGCCCCTACATAAGATCTGGTGCAAACAATTGCCTTCAGAAGTCACATATTTAGTTCAATAAAGACCACCGGTGTGCAATCTAAGTGTCACATGATCTCAGTATATACACCTGTTCTGAAGGGCCCCAGAGTCAGGGGCACCACCAAGGAAACGGCACCATGAAGACCAAGGAGCTCTCCAAACAGGTCAGGGACAAAGTTATGGAGAAGTACAGATCAGGGTTGGGTTATAAAAAAAAATATGTTAAACTAAACATCCCACGGAGCACCATTTAATCCATTATTATAAAATAGAAAGAATATGGCTCTACAACAAACCTGCGAAGAGAAGGCTGCCCACCAAAACTCGCGGACCAAGAGCATTAATTAGAGAGCCAACAAAGAGACCAAAGATGACCCTTAGGGAGCTGCAAAGCTCCACAGCGGAGATTGGAGTATCTGTCCATAGGACCACTTAAGCCATACACTCCACAGAGCTGGCTTTCATGGAAGAATGGTCAGAAAAAATAAGCAAATACGTTTGCTGTTCACCAAAAGGCATGTGGGAGACTCTCCAAACATATGGAAGAAGGTACTCCGGTCAGATGAGACAAAAAATTTAGCTTTTTGGCCTTCAAGGAAAATGCTATGTCTGGCGCAAACCCAAGACCTCTCAATACCCCAAAAACACCATCCCCGCAGAGATATTTTTCATCGGCAGGGACTGTCAAACTGGTCAGAATTGAAGGAATGATGGGTGGCGCTAAATGCAGGGAAATTTTGAGGGAAACCTCTTTTTCAGTCTGCCAGAGATTTGAGAGTGGGATGGAGATTCACCTTCCAGCAGGACAACGACCCTAAGCATACTGCTAACACAACACTCGAGTGATTTAAGGGGAAACACTTAAATGTCTTGGAATGGCCTAGTCAAAGACCTCAATCTAATCGAGAATCTGTGGCATAACTTGCTGTACACCAGCGAAACCCATCCAACTTGAGGGAGCTGGAGCAGTTGTGCCTTGAAGAATGGGCAAAAATCCCAATGGGTAGATGTGCCAAGCTTATAGACATATAGCCCAAGACATTTGCAGCTGTAAGTGCTGCAAAGGGTGGCTCTACAAAGTATTGAGTTTAGGGGGGGCCGGGGGGGTGAATAGTTCTGCACGCTCAAGTAAGTTTTCTGTTTTTTTTAATTTATATCTTGTTTTGTATCGCAATAAAAGATATTTTGCATCTTCAAAGTGGTAGGCATGTTGTGTAAATCAAATGATACAACCCCCCAAAAATCTCTCTTAATTCCAAGGTGAATATGCAACAAAATAGGAAAAATGCCATGGGGGGGATACTTTTGCAGATCTCCTGAGACTGCCAGGCATTAAAGTCTCTGTACTTCACAGAGAATTATGTCAAAAACATCCAGAAAGCAGATGTTTTATGGGACAAAACCCCTTGTTAATGAGGTCAGAGAAGAATGGGCAGACTTGTTCAAGCTAATAGGAAGTCCAAAAATGAAGTGCTTAAGATAAAAGTTTTGTTACGTTGGCTGGACCTACTCACTGGGTGCCTATATAATTCTGAAGGTTTCTTGATTACCTTTCCTTTAAAATCCATCACACTGCGGTAATAGCACCTTCAGAAATACTGGGACTTCAGGTACATGGGAAGAGCATGCCAGCCCCAGCCCACAATGTAGCACTTGGTGCCTAAGCAGCTTATTGCCTAGCCTCAGCCTATGCAGATCAAGAGGGTCCACTAATAAAGCAAAATTTTAAATCTAAAAGGTATTAATATTTTGCAAAGGCATTTAATTTGAATTAGGCTGTGCTAGCTGATCAAGATAAGTAGGTTATTTGGGACTATGACAGTAAATCCCAACCATTGCCAGCTAGATAAGTGCATATTCAGCATTTTTAAAAACAAAAGTAATATACAGAGCTTTACTTATGTTTGTTCTTATTGCAGACGTCCTGAGATCACCATTGTTGCTGCTGAGCCCATTGGTCCTGGATCTTGGTTTCATGGTGGTCCAACAGGGGGGCTAGGGTTTCCTCCTCCTCCCCCGCCTCAGTGGAGGCCCAGTGATTCTCATCAACCAGAGGTCAGTAGTAATTCATTTGTTTTCTCCTTCATTTTCACTTTTTAACTATTAAAATAGAAACAAATCCAGAATATGAATGAACATGTGAGATTTTCCCCTCAAAAATAAAAATGCAATAGACCATAGACATTACTAAAAAGTAGGTTAGTGTACCACAATGCATATCCCAGTTGGTAGTCCTTGCGATTAATGTCTCTATTGTGTATGGATTTACATAGAATTAAGGCTTGGCAGAGGAGCCCTATGAATCATATGCTTTCTTCTGTCTGCATTTTAACAATTGTTTTCTTTATCGATGGAGCAGCCCCCATCCTATGAGCAGGTCATAAAAGAAATCAACCAAGTTCAAGTAACCATACCCACTGCTAATGTTGAGCCTAGGAGGACAACAACGTGTGCTACACAGACAGACTTTCCGTTGGAAGATGATCGCCCTGGGCCCGTCAATAATGTAATTAATCAGCCTATTCTCTGTGATCAAGCCACAGTCACAGGTAGGTTTAACACTCTTGTTATATATGAATTAGCTCAGCTCAAAAACTTCCAACTCGTATAATGTTTGTGAGGGAGGTGCACTGACTCGCTTTTTAAACTTCAAATGACAGATATGTACAGGTAGAAAAACACTTTTTTAAATCATTTTTCGTACAATTCATATATTTTTGTATAAACGGTCACTAGTCCGTTTATTATTTATTATTATTACTATTATTACTGAAATTATTATTTTTATTATTATTACTATTATTATTATTATTATTACATTGCATTACCACCAGGGTGTGGTTGAAACACACAGCAGTCTTACCTGTGCTTCACAGATACAGAATTTACCTGTGTTTCAGTCCTCACATGAATACAAAGTTAAGGGTGGACAACAACATCCTTATACAAGCCATAAAATAGATTGTTAAAATGACATCACAATAAAATCACAGGGGTGGACAAATATGGAATTTAGAAGCCGGTCTGTCCAGTTCAGGAGTCAGCAGGATTTTTATAGGCTATCCATTGACAACTAGAGAGAAACTTAAAAGTTATGCACCGGCTGTAATTTATAGGGAGCATTGGCTACCTGGATCCTAGGATTTGTCCAGCCCTGCAGTAACATAGGTTAGGAGTACCAAATCACATTGTTATTCATATATAAATAAGGTATATTTGTTCCATGAATTAAAACTGCAGCTCTTAGCCTAGGCAAATTAGCTTGCATGGGCTGTGATTACAACCAGGCTCCCAGCCTAGGCACATTATATCACATGGTGGCTATCTACCCATTATTACTGCAAATGGTTCATTGTTTTCAATCAGTAGTAGGGCAAAAAACTACCCCGGTGCCTAATATTTACCTTTACAGCAGTTCCCCTGCCACTCAGATCCCTGCCGCTGTAACACTTCTCCTGCCACCTCACAGAGCAGCACTTGGAGCTTGATCATTAAGTTGCCTGAGCTCTGTGACATGGGGAGCTTGTCATTCAATGTGTAATTACCAGTCATTTTGTAGGGGGTAGCAGGAGGGATCTGAGTGGAGGTAAAGGCAAATAAAGACACTGGAGGGCACCAACGACAGGGTGGGGGAGTGAATTGAGGACATTTCTTTCTAACACTTCTGAACCTTAGGAAAACCGCGATAGACACTAATGTAATGCATATGAGGAAGCTAATATACCAGCCAAGCCAAGGATTTGTGTTTGTCTATCCAGTTCTGCAGTTTACACAGCTCTGACTTGTTCGGCAGGGCAGAAGACCTGATTTTTCTCAGTTCTGTAACATGTACAGTTGTCATCCCTCCCCAGGCCAGTGACTGGACAGTGAAAAGAGAATCAGCAGTCTGATGAGCTCATGTCTGTCACTCTCCTCTCACATCCTATCAGCATATCTCTTGTTGGCACCTGAACACTGTCTGTCTGTTTGTGCTGCTTCTCCCTTTTATCAGTCTGAGCTATGCTGTACAGTGGATAGCAAGAGGCAAATACCAAGTCAAATTCAGATAGATGCACTGCTTGCATTTAAAAACGACATTTAATGATGTACTAATAAAGACTGAGGTGCATAAATCCATGTTTTTTTTCTTATATCTGCCTAGAGTTTAGTTTGAACAACTCACATATAAAAGGAGTGCCACAAAACCAATGGGCGTTTTAAATAAAACTAGCTATGGACATGACGTGACTATTGGATGTTCACAGATGATCCATCCACTGTAAAAGTAAACCCTTTGTGCACATAGACATGTATATTTGTATCCAAAATGTATTTGTATATATTTTGGTCAAAATATTTCAAAAGTCTTGTTAGAGGGTGTTTAGTGAGGATTTCACGTCATATTTGTCCTTCTAGTCATGAAGACCAGCTTGCCGGTCTTTTAAAGGTCCTACAAAGTCTTGTAAAGTCCCAGCATATTCTATCCTGCTAGAACATCAGCATTGTAGTTGGAATACATACTATCGCTGTCTTTGCAATCAAAGCTCACTTGGAAAAATCCCTTTTATGTAGTGAGTGCTGCCTTCCGTCTGCCCATCACTTTCAACAACTTCCTGGATTCCCAGTGTACTCTGCATCTCTTTCCCTGCTGCTTGATGTGATTTCATCTTGATTTCTCAAGAGCACACATCCCATCATGCATAGCTTCAGCAAGCAATGATGATGTGATATTGTTAAGTTGTAGTTCAGAAGGCATGCCCCGTGAGTTGTGACACAAGTAAGTGCATATTTTCAGAGTGAAATTGTTTCAGTGCATTGTGGAAGTAAATACTATGGGCATCTTTAGTAGGTAAGTGTACAAACTTCTAGATCAATATGATTAGGAGTCGAATAGAACTTTAGAATAGAAATTCATGTTTAGTTTTTGGCCATAGATACTCTTTAATGTCTATGAGTACCTCAACCTCCAGTCAATAGTGAGGTTACATTTAAAAACAAATCATTTGCCAAAATGACACAATGAATGGAACCTAAAGCTGAACTCAAGGCAGCTATTGAAGACACAAATGAGTGCAGCTCTTCAATTACTAATACACTATTAAATATATTGTTTAAATCCAAGCAGTGTAAGTACCTGAAATTCACCTGGCACCAACCTCTGGCAGGCCCTGTACAGCAGAGCTGGAGTGAGAGGAAAGCAGTACTAGAAGCCAATCATGTGCTGATAGGAAGAGAAAGCAGAGTCCCAAAGAGATGAGCTCATCACTGTGCTGCTTCTCTTTTCACTGTCCAGTCACAGGCTGGAGCAGATCAACCTGAGCTCAGAAGAAGTAGGTTGGGTGATGTTGGCCATCAGACTGAGAACATCTAGGGGCATAAAAAAGTAATGCAGGAAAATGTTTGGATTTAACGTGAATATTGCAGCAAATTTTTTTTTGTTTAATCTTTCAATGGGCTATACATTTTTATCTTGGTGCTGTTGTTGGCTGGAGACCATTCTTTTCAGAAAATATTTTGGTATTTGTGTTTGCACAATTAACTTCAACATTATTCATTTTAGTGCAAAGAACAGAAAGGCCAGAGAGACCCCGGCAGCCAGTGCCATTTGTGAAAAATAATGTCCAGGACAGTGGTCACCAGATAGCAATCAGTAACACTGCTGGGACCAGCACCCGACACGAAGACACAAATGTCCCAAATATCACCCGATATCCAGTGCCAAGGCCAAGGACAAAACCAAATCTTAAGCCTGTAGGAACCAATCATCTAAGTATCTTTCAAGGAAACAGTGAGGTGTTCTTCCAGGCCACAGCTGAGGGAGAACTACCATCCAGCCAGTCTTGTCCAGGTTTTGATGATAATTTCCTAGAGGAATTATTTGAAATGAACAATATGAGCCATGAAAGAAGCCAAAACAGTATTACGGCACGTATTAAAGCGTTTGAGTCACAAGGTGAAAGCATCGAAAACCCTCGAAGACCAGAAATTGCGCCACGCTCCATCAACACTAGGAGCTGTGTTCCTGGTAAGCCTTCTGTAGCTCCCAAACCAATTCCTAATAGGACATCTGGGGAATGGGATCCAGGAAAAGACAACAAACCAAAATGCATACCAAGAGAAGGGCTTGTTCCAACCAGTCTATTAGACCCTGGTGGTGTGACCAAACCAGAGCTGCCAAAGAAACCAAAGCCTAGTGTTGTAAAAAGCAGCAGCAGTGACATACCTGATGTACTCCTTGGAACCTCTTTGTCTGGAGTTAACAGTAAAGAGTCTGACAGGATAATCCCAGTTCCTGCCCCCAGGCCTATGCTACCGAAGAAGACCTTGCAGACTGATAATTTGGTACCGGCAGGAGCCAAGCCACTGATTCCTGCTCCAAAATTCTCTCTAGCTACTCAAGCCAAAGCATTTAATTCAGTGGAAACTCCTGCAACCCGAGCACCTGCACAGGTCACACAAAGCAAGTCGCTGGGTCAATTAGACCTGATCAGCTTTGATGATGATGTTTTACCTCCTGTGTTGCCAAGTCCAGAAGTTATTAATGATTCGAATGCAAATTCTGGTAAGAGCAGATATACGTATATACTATGATATTTTCTTTAACTTTTCTTTACCTTGTTTTGGAAATTAATATACACTGCCTGCGCATATTAATCCGCTGCGCTTAAAAGCACAGTTGTATTACGCTCTTTTGTGCAAGGACCTGAACTGCTTCTGTAGAGTCAAGACAAGGTGATGCTTTCATGCTGGAGTTTCTGTTCCCAAGTGTCCCTGGCAGTAGCTCCGTTTTATTTATAGAAGTGACAAACAGGAAGTGATGTCAACAACCGACATCACTTCCTCAATACATCAACATAACATATCATAGAGAGCCAACGAAACACATGTATACCATAGGAAGGATAGTGTATGTCTGTGTCATAGTAGAAGCGGTGTGCATAGCTCATAAACCCGTGTGCACAGCCGCATGTTTTTCTATGGATGCCGCCATCTTTCCAGACCCCCCCCCCACACACACAATCTCCCATTAACACTGGAGTCAACTTCATCCAGCATTGCTCAGGGAGCAATGCCCAATAAAGATTATAGTATGGTTCTCATGAATGCGAGCTTGTCTGCAGGGACAACGCCATACTATTTCCAGCGTGTTGATCAGAAATACGAACGCACGTTCCTTTCATAAAGGCAGATATGTATCTAAACTGATACATCGCTCTCAAAACAAATGCATCCTCGCCAAGCCAATAAATCCGCGCTTTGCGCAGGGGCCCCAGCCGGCGTCCATACACTCGTAAAGAAAACACTGCTCCGCCACGCACATCAATCTCCCCCGGCCAACAGCCCAGCACATGGATCATTCGCCAGCGGAGACCTCTGTGCACAGCGGCCGCTTCTCCACATCCACAGGAAGATATCCACTCCAATGGTTTACACTCAGTGCTGGTTATTGTTTCCCGACCACGCTCCAATCGCGCGTAACGTGGCAAAACTGACACTGAGAGACATGATGACAATATTACAATATACTAAAAACACATCCTAATAGAATTTCCACAACAACCTAGACCGCTTTAAAGCCTTTGTGTCTGTGCCTTTTACTTTTTGGCTTTTTTTTTACATCTTTTTAAACTCTGGCAAAACTCAGTGGATTGTTGAACATTGCAACATTTGATTTCCAAAAGAATGCATTTTATTTTGTCAGATCCATTCCAGCTGTTTTCCAAGGACGAGCCTGAGAAGGAACAGCCAGGTCCTCCTGTTATATTAAGAAAGCCCACAGTCATCCGGATCTCCGGCAAACTAGGCAAATGTGAGCAGCATAATCATACCATTGTTTGCTGTAGAATACTGTCCTATAATATTGCGTTGTTACATGTGAATATTGGAGCATAAGAATTTCTTTTCAAGTCACTGTGGATCTTGTTTATTAGCATCTAAAAAAAGAACTGTGTTGCTCACAGCATCCTGATTCTCTTACTTTGATTTGCCCAGCAGCCAATTTGTAGTGAGTTCTTCCTTTTAGAGATGTCAATTAAAAACTCCATGTAAAACAGAAAGATGACAGGGCAGGATCTAGTTTAAAAGGATAAAGCAAACATATATCCTATTGTAATCTATAAATATTTTTTGGGGAATCTGGGAGTGATAGAATCTACAGATCTATATGCAGCCAGCAGTTGTTCTTTTTGCTCTTGATGGCATTGTACTTTCAGCTTCACACACTGCCTGTCCAACATAGAACAGTGTGGACAAGTGTAACTAGAGAAATAAGTTATGGACCCTTTTTATTGGGTTTTCCTATAACCCTGTTTATAGATCTAAGGCATCCAAAAGAAATACAGTATGTGTGGTAATGGAAAGAAAATTGCAAACTTGCATAGGTCCTAGGCTATCTATTAAGTCTCTTTAACCCTTCAACCCAACTAAGTATTTTTGGGGTGGGTCAAGTAGTACAATCAATGTGGAATTTAACATTAACCAAAGTTAACAACTGGATTTAATATTAACAGAAGTGCACAAACCTTCCTAAAGGAATAGGAAAGAGAAAGTGTTGGGTAAAGAATTTGTAAGATATAAAACTATCAATCCAAAGTTACATTAGGCCTGCAAACCCTCTAGGCCCAGAGTCCAGAGTTCCCGAACAATATCCATACAGACATAAATCACTGTTTTGAGGGACCACAACAAGCCTCAACACAAAAGTGCTCCCACAAGTGTGTAAATACACCCACAAATATACATAGATCAACACAAAATAACTTCCCTCCCCAAAAAACAGTGGGTCTCCTTATTCACCTTATTTTAAATGTACCCGGTCACATATCTCCACTAAGACCACCAATGTGGGGCCCGTAACAATATATTGGGGGATTTTCTCTTACGTCCTATCAGGACAGGAAACACATTTTAGTAGTGTGAGTAATTGTTAGAACCTCTGGTAAAGTTTTTTATTTTTAGTTTTGTCTGAGCCTTCCAGTTTTTCTGCGCTGTTACCCATACATCGGGGTTTCTTGTTGTGTTTTTTTTTTTAGCAATAATATTGATTCAGTATAATTCTTTATAGTCCATGTAATCATTTTGGTTAGAGGCTCTTGTTGCATCCTATGCTTAGTATGTATTCTAAGTGTCCTGTGTTCACCAGACTTCATAAAAGATCACAGTGTCATCCTTTGTTCACAGCATGTGAAGAACTTCAGGTTGCCCCACCACTTCCTGCAGATAAACCTGTAGGTCTTTATAATAAATCTGCTGCAAGAGTGCGTCCTACAGTTAGAAAGGTAAGTGCTATATCTGTTTGTTTTATCCCATGTTTGCCAGATATTTATATAATTTGTTATATGTACAGACTGTGTATGGATATGTAGTTATGCATCCCCTCCTCGTCTAGTACAATAGTATTGCCTTTATATAACTCTTCCTCTCCATAGTTCAGTTATGCACAGGCTGGCTCAGTGCAGTAATTGATGTACACAAACGTTATTTTTTCAATAAAATACTTGTTTTAATCTTTTGTTGCATCTCAGTGCTGCTCATCTCCTGCAGCCTATGCAGCTGTTTCCTGTTTAATGCATACACCCTAGAGATGGCTACATGACATTTTTCAGGATGAGTTTCCAGGTGGTGACATTGGTTGGCCTGTGTGCCTCTTGTAGTCCATTAGAAGCCTTTTTGATAGGGTTACAACGCAGGACCACGTGTGGGAGACAAGGAGAGAGCATTTTTACCCTATAACAGGAAGCACCTGAGAAAGGACCTTGATGGCAGGATCACCAGAGATTTCTTTAATGAAAGCTTCATATTTACAAATGTTGAAATTGACTCAACACGTTAAAAAACTTATGTGAGATTTTTGTGATTTAACATATAGTCTTATAGTGTCACTGAAAACGTTTAATTAAATAGTATAAATGTGAGTGAAGTAATTCAGTACTGCCTGCGCCTCATTTTCTTTTTATAGGCTTATATTATATAGGAAACAATTGTTGTAAAAAGGGAAGCCGCACTCCAGAAATAAATCTGTATGCTGTTTAACCAGTTGACATCCGCGGTGTTAAACCCCCTTCCCATCCAGGCCATTTTTCAAGTTCTTAACGGGCGGATGGCAAGAGGTTAATCCATGGGCATAAATAAGCCGTACAATAACAGACAACTTCACGCTCTTGCGTGGTGGAATGGTGGAACGCATTAGCGCATGAAGTTGTGTGTTATTGTACAGCTTATTTATGCCCATGGATTAAACAGCATACAGATTTATTTCAGGAGTGCGGCTTCCCTTTTTACACTTGGATTGAGTTCCTGTCAGGCTGTGGCGTGCCCCTCTAGCTGGCACTCGACAAACAGATGAGATCCTCGGACTGTGGAGGTGGATGTGAGCAGTGTATCTGTTTTGTGTGACCATTCGGACTGTTTTTGTCACTATATAGAGTGTACAAATCCTCAGCCCACTCTACATTGCATATACTGAACTTGAATTGTTTTTCTGTTGCAGGAATGGGAGACATTCGATAGTACAGAAGAGCAATGGACGAAGCCAGTGCTACCTACAAGGCATGTGCAGCATATCTTTTGTGTATTTTTTATTTTGCCAGCTCTGTAGATGTCTCACACTGCATGTCGGTAAATCATATTAAATGCTTGGAAATATTTTTGTTGCTCAGTGTTTTGTTTCTCCCAAAATATCCAGAGCTATCTGTACATGATTTAGGAATAAGATTTTTCTAAACATCTACAGATCTAAGAGCTTTGCTTCCAGCATAGACATTGTTGTTGTCAGTTCCTGTATTTGGTCAGGAAGCATTCTTCTTTTGATGGTATAATTTTACCTTGCATTCCTGTCTAGGCCAGCTGGTGTTAAAGTAATGGAAACTGCACAGCAGCCTCCACTGAAAGGTCCCCCAGGTCGTCCACCACCTCCCAAACTTTCCAGAAATGCCTCACATCGAGATGCCTTTCCTCGCTCATCCTCTGATGCAGGCCTTGGTGTAAAACAGAACACATCTGGTATCAGCAGATCAAAGAGTCAAGCATTAAAGAGACAGCAACCAGATCTACCTCCTCGACCTAAACCTGGACATCCTTTGTATAATAAATACACGGTGAGATCCCTAGATTTGTCTTCTATGGATGTAATTACGGCCTCTTTCAGGGCTATATTTACCACACTGACTTTTCTGGGTCAGGGTAGAGGGCATCAGAGTAACACGTATCAAAATGCGCAAATTGTAATTTCTTTGTTTTTCCTTATGCCCATTTCTAGACGTTTCTGGCTGAATTCAGAACAGTAGGGTGCATGGGTTATTTGAGAGGAGTCGGAAGGTTCTTTATAGTTCAGGAAACATGAAACAGTCTCTGCAGTAAAAAAAAATAGTTCTGGATATAAAGCAGACAACATTCTGTCTCCAATAGCACATTTTAGCTGCTGTTTTCACTAAATTAATCAGAGCTTTGCAATAATTAAGCAGAGCTTGTCAGTGTCTCATCATTCAGGTATGTCTAGAGCAGCATGATCTTTACATACAGCCTTCCCTCTGTCACCACAAATGAAAGTGAAAAGAATACTAGACTAAAAATCAAAAAGAGAATCTTGCATGTTCTCAATGTGTACTACTGATATTTTGTTGCAGCAGTGATGTATGCAGTACAGTGTATTACAGTGTATTGTGTTCTCATGGGAGACTGTTTTCTGCTTTAGCTGCCTCTTCCTCATGGAGTTGCAGAGAAGGATATTGTGTCCAGTAACCCTCGGGAGCTGTCCTGCAAGGTAAATCTATAATAACAGCTTATTGTATAAATGGGGTGACAAGATATGGGGAAATAGATATTATGTGACTAGTTAGAATTGTTTTTTTTTCTTTGTGTGTGTAATGTCATATGAAGCATGCAACAAACATTGTCCCTTTATTGATACAGATTCCTGCAATTAAAGGCTAACAAATTCCCTCCCTAACTATGGTTGTAATTGGTAGACAGTCACAGGTTACTGCAATAATTCCATGGTTGAGCGCATACAATCTTAGTGTCACAATTGTGCGTAATTAGGTGCAGGTGTCTTCATCCACCCCTGTCTGTGTCCTCTGGGAGAATTCCTGACAACCATCATTTGGACAAGAAGTGAGGGAAATCTTCACCATCTGAATACAGACAGCAGTGGAATCTGTTCTCTAGCCTTTCCCCATTTTATACAAAACTTTTAAAACGTTTTGGCTGGAATGAGGCTTTTACCTGTCCCTGGCTATTGGGGTGGATTCACATTACATGTGTTACATTTGGCGTACACTGATGTGTTAAATGCCTTTTGAGTTGACACGTAGTGAGATGCATTTTTTATTTTATTTTATTATGCATTGCGTTGGTGTGCAGGTTTTTGCCAAAATATAGTCAACATATATTTTCCTTTTTTTTTTTTTCTACTTTCACCTAGTGAACATATCAACACAGCGCATTGGCATGAACTGGGCCCATTATAAACAATGGATTTCAGATTGTCATTGCGTTTTGGCCTGCATTGAATAACACAGCCCAACAGACATGCTAGTTGATTAGAAAACATTTAATACAATAAACACCTGCAATGTGTTTCCTATATGTTTAGAATAACCTACTCTAACCTTCCTACAGTGTAGATGTATCAAATCCTGTACATCAAATGTTTGTTTTTAAATTATTAATAGTTTGACTGCAGGATTGTAGTTATAAGTAGTTTTTATATTTTTCTCTAGCCTAACTCTTGACTGCTTTGTTGGTCCGGCATGCTCAACAAACAAAGAAATCTTGTTATAATCGTGGCCGGTCTTTTCTCGAGTAAATCAAATGACATTAGATTTATATACAGTACTGTGCAACAGTTTTAGACAGGTGTGAAAAAATGCTGTAAAGTAAAAATGATTTCAGAAATAAAAGTGTTAAAAATTAAACTGGTATCAATGAACAAAATGGAAACTAAATGAACAGAAAAGAAATCCAAATCAAATCAATAATTGGTGTGACCACCCTTTGCCTTTAAAACAGCATCAATTCTTCTAGGTACACTTGCACACAGCTTAGAAGGAACTCGGCAGGTAGGTTGTTTCAAACATCTTGGAAAACTAAGCACAGATCTTCTGTGACTGTAGACTGCCTCAAATCCTTCTGTCTCCGAGCACGAATGCAACCAAGAAGGCCAGGCCTGTCACGTTCTTTCATTTTACTACAAGCTTCTCTTATCTAGCGCCTCGACCGATACACCATGGTTCCTACAGAGATGGGAGGAGGACCTCGGGATCCACCTGGGCCCGGAAGATGGTAGGAAACTACTCTCACTCTCCTATCAGTCCTCCATTAGCAACAAATACCAGGAGGCAGGGTACAAACTAGTCACCAGGTGGTACAGGACACCCAAGGCTCTCCACTCCATGTTCCCACAAACGCCGGCCACTTGTTGGCGGTGTAACGCCCCGTCGGCAGATATATTGCACATATTCTGGTCATGCCAGAGTCTACAATCTTCATGGGACCAAGTCCATGCCACTACCCAACAATTCACGGACACCACGTTACCGCGTGAACCAGCCCTCTACCTATTACACCACACTACCATCTCCCTAAAAACCTACCAGCGCTCCCTGAGACGCCATCTCATCAACACTGCCCAGGCATGTATTCCAGCCCTATGGCGGAAGCCTGAGCCCCCTACGGTTCATCAATGGCTCGACAGGATACATGATATCTATCTCATGGAGGATCTTACAAGTTCCCTTAACAACACCCCTGCCAAATTTAGAGCCACTTGGTTTTACTGGATTGACTTTCTCTCTTCCCCGGCCTACACGAAGTTGCGTCAGGGCTCTGACGTGTGACACTCCTCACCAACCTGACCCCTGGTCTTGTCCCTCCTTCCTTCTCTCCATTGGGATGAGTACCCACCCCACCTCTGACCCCCCCATGTACGAACATCTTTATCGGCCTGTGAGGGCCAACATTGTACCTTACCGCTCTCTACTTGTTATAATTGTGAAAACCTTTGAAATAAAGAATTTATTAAAAAAAATCCTTCTGTCTCTTCATGTAATCCCAGACAGACTTATTGATGTTGAGAATCAGGGCTCTGTGGGAGCCAAACCATCACTTCCAGAACTCCTTGTTCTTTATATGCTGAAGATGGTTCTCAATGACATTGGCTGTATGTTTGGGGTCATTGTGCTGCTGTAGAATACATTTGGGGCCAATCACACGCCTCCCTGATGGTATGGCATAATTGATAAATGTCTGCATGTATTTCTTAGCATTGAGGGCATCATTGATCGTGACCAAATCTCCAACTCCATTGGCAGAAATGCAGCCCAAGACTTGAAAGGAACCTCCACCATGCTTCACTGTTGCCTTCAGACACTCATTATTGTACCGCTCTCCAGCCCTTCAGTGAACAAACTGCCTCCTGCTACAGCCACATTTTTCAAATTTAGACTTATCAGTTCAGAGTACCTCTTGCCATTTTTCTGCACCCCAGTTCCTATGCACAGTTGAGTGGCTTAGCTTTGTTTCCACATCGGGAGGTATGGCTTTTTGGCCGCAATTCTTCCATGAAGATTACTTCTGGCCAGACTTCTCCGGACAGTAGATGGGTGTACCTGGGTCTGATGGAACTGCTGGACATCTTTCGATGTTGAAGGGAAGTAAGCATGATGTGTCTTTTCATCTGCTGTATTAAGTTTCCTTGGCTGACCACTGCGTTTACAATACTCAACATTGCCTGTTTCTTTGTGCTTCTTTTAAAAGAGCTTGAACAGCACATCTTGAAACCACAGTCTGCTTTGAAATCTTTGCCTGGCAGAGACCTTGCTGATGCAGTATAACTACCTTGTGTCTTGTTGCTGTGCTCAGTCTTGCCATGTTGTATGACCTGTGACATGAAACGGTCTTCCACAACCTCGCCTAAGTAGCAGAGTTTGGCTTTTCCTCACCCAGTTTGAAGCCTCCTACACAGCTGTTTCCGTAATGACTGCGTTTCAACCTAATCCTACAAAATCCCTGACTTTGTGCAAGTGTAAGAATTGATGCTGGTTTGAAGCCAAAGGGTAGTCATACCAAATATTAATTTGATTTCGATTTTTCTTATGTTTACTCACTTTGCATTTTGTAAATTGATAAAAATAAACAATAAAATGGGTTTGGTAGGCACGCAGAGGCAGGAGCATAGAGTAGATGCATAAAAAAATTTCGGCAAGTCACAGTTCGCCTTTCTCAAGGCAGTCAGAACACATAGCTTCATTAAGTGCAATCCATATATACAAGCCCCACCAACAAAGGGAAAGAATGTCAATGACACTTACTCCACATGAGGTACCAGCCAACCTATGCAGCCATCACTGGCAGGCAGAAGCACAACAGGGCATCCTCATAGGAATACCACAGCAGAAGAAAATAACATAGAGACAAGTAGAAACATGAGCAGATAAATGATCAGAGACATGTTCAACAAAGCACATGTAATAATAATATCATAGTATTTAAA